CCCACACCTCCCTTTCATCTTCCTTGCCAACCCGTCGTGGTACCCCTAAGACAGAAGGAGATCTATGTTGATGCTGCTGTTTCTTGCATAATTAAACCACGCTCGAGATCAACACGACGATCATCTTTCGACCTCGTTGCTATGGTTTCCAAAAGCAGCATCAGAACGCCATCGTAAGGATAATTACATATGCAAAACACTAGCGCCCTCTGGTATATCACGTGACCAAAGTCGTAAATGGCCGAATAACACTGTGTGTCGCAGGAGTTCCTTCACGAGTGTGTCACAGACCGACCATACGAGGGAAAACGTACGCTTCGGTTGTTTAGTCTGCTGCGTTCAACGCTTGGAACCTTGGATATTTTTTTAGCGTCTCATGTTTGTAGTCTGTGATCATATTGTGTTCTTCTTCCCTCAAACATGCCTTTGTTCGGGAAGAAAAACGAAGCGGACAAGAAACTGAAAGAAAGCGATATACGGCGGAAATACGAGTTCAAAGACACATTGGGAACGTAAGTAAATCCAGATTTTATTTGTTTGAATATTTTCCTTCGTGAGCTGTGTTGGGGAAAATTTCATTCGTTCGAGCTTTGCTCTTAAATTTATTCTCCGAGATCGAATTCATATAGTTTGTGAAAAGAAATTGGTTTTTCTGCCTTGTGCTCATAAAAAAAAGTAAGTTGCGACCGGTCCGAAAAATAATAATTTATTTAATTTTTTGACTGCCGCTCGACTGGTGAACTGTTGTATGACAACACTCAAAAACACAATAAATGATGGGGCGGGGACGGGGGCGTGGATCAAAATTGCGCCAGTAGATGATGTTTATATGTCGGCTTTCGATAAATTTTGATCATTGCGTTAACCCTGCCATAAATACTATATTTATGTAATACATTGTCTCTTCACCCGTACCAACAGGCACAAAAACAACTCCGTTTCTGCGTCCTCGGAAATATTCTGTAAAGTTGATAGATCTAGATCTAGAATCTAATCTAGATCTAGATGAACTTGATGAAGATGATCAAGTCGTGATCAAGCATCATCAATCATCAAGAGCTAAAATAAAAGGCTAAAACTAAAAAGGTAAAAAAGTTACCAATCTAATAGATCTAGATCTAGAAATCTAGATCTAGACATTAGATCTAGATCTAGAAGTTTAGAAGTTGAAGTAACATCAATAGATCTAGATCTAGATTCTAGATGGTTTTCGTTTCTCTAAGAACGTTACCCAATTCTACATCTCCAGATCTGAAATCTAGATCTAGATCTAGAATCTAGATCTAGATCTAGTCTAGTACATATAGATCTAGATCTAGAGAATCTAGTGATACTTGAAGTCTAGACAGAAAGATTTCTAGATTCTAGATCTAGATCTAGATTAGATCTAGATCTAGGTCTAGAATCTAGACTAGATCTAGAATCTTACTTATGATGAATCATTCCAATGACAGTAATTTAATAATGTTTTGTTATTTATATAGATCTAGTTCATCAGCAGTTCGGTTTCGTTCAGTGTAGAGTTTTTAAATTTTTAAAATTTTAATGACCTCTCGCCTTTCATTCTAAAGTCAAATTAAACGAAGAAAACAATCACCCTTTCCTTCGGAACTGGTTTTTTGTCAGCGTAACCATTTTTTAAAAGCGTTCTTCCAAAATTTATTCAAAAACTTGCTAGTTTCACTTTGATTTTTTAAAACTCAAGTAGGGTAACTGTTCGCAAAGGGTGCGCTTTTGCGAAGAGGGCGCCACCAAATTTTGAGGACACTTAATTGGCTCAAAGAGAGAAGTGGCCCCTCTTGTTATGTAGACTCTTTGCTGAAACATGAGCTTGCACTTTTATAATTGGCATTCCTTTATAATTTGTCCTGTTGTCTTCTTCAGTACTGTACCAGATTCCATTTTATCATATTGTTATTGTTGGACTGCAGGTGGTTGGAGGGCACAACACTGCCTACTGGTAGATCCTAGCCTACTCCTTTACTTTCCCTCCTCTCTGTCTTACATTTTCCCCAGCACTCATTATTTTATATACTGTGTCAATGTGTTTCTCTACTCAAACAAACAAATTGTTGGACTTTCTGACTTTCACTCAAGGCTCAGTAGTTACTAGTAGTTAGTAATGTCCACTTCATTCATTCTTGTATCCATCACTACTAAACTATTTGCCAAGGTTTCCTGCACTCTCAAGTGTATAACATGCAAGTGCGCTTTTTTATGGCTTTTATATCATGACCTTACGCAGTTGAGTACTGTAATACTCTTACTAAACTAAAATGTGTATGCTCTTAATTTTCAAAAGCATTTACTCAAACGGGTAGGGGGCATATAATATAAAGTTTCATAATGATATTACAGTGCTGTTGACTTGTAATACGTCTAAACTGTGGAAAATGAATGAAAAAAAATGAACTGAATTCCTCTCATATTTAAATCTCTTACTGTACTTTTCAAAACTTTGTGATTCATAAGGATTTAGGATATTATAAATTTCGGTTTTAAGATGAGAAAGTAAATTATGAGCTTGACTAGATCTATATATATATATCTTTTTATGGGTCCCAGCTAATATATTAGCATGCTAATTTTTTGTGGCCTAAAGTGCGAAACGTGCTCTGATTAAATGAGGTCGTTTTTGTGTGCCTTCCCTAGAGAAAGTGACAGTTTTCTTGTGACCTTGTACTTAATGTTACTGTCATTTGGATTGATACATGATGTCACTGGATCATGGTAATTTCTACTTCTACTTTGCCGTCCCTCCTTTTCTTTTTTTATATAATATCTGATCTGTTTAAATAATGTTAAAAGTCAATTCTTGGCTTTACTTCAAATTATAAACTAGCTACAAGAATCAGATTCAATGGTGGGTTGTGTTTGTCTTACTGGCCTAAAACTTTCTAGCACAGTAGGTCACAAACTTGATCAGATAGCCAGGGGCTTCTTAAAATCCTAGCGGAATCCGAATTATTTTTCTTACTTTTTCTCTGTGAATTTTTCTACCTAGATCTAGTTCACTGAGTTGTTCAAATGAGGAACTATATAATATATAGTTATTATATATGCTCCTCCTTCAAAATGACTCACAGTAGTATCTAATTAGCTGTTACATGATTTCAAAAACGAAATCCTCACTGAGAAGATAGTAAAAATAGTATTATGTTCTGATTATGGGTGCTCGTGACCTGCTAATGCAGGATAGAGAGTTAAAAAATGAACTCGGCCAACTGTTGCAGGAAACCAGTAGGCCCTATTACTGACCCGCTTAAAACTTCTAGTTTCTTTTGGTTGTAAAATAAATGCGACTAGGAATCGTTAAAAGAAGTGAGTGTATACAAGTATTTTATAATTACATGTAGTGGGTGGTTGGCAGATGCTCTTGTGTGATTTGCTCCTCCTTCCCAACCAAACACCTTTCGTCCTTGTATAAAATCCCTCTTTCTAATGTGCATTTCATATACGCTTTCTAAACCGGCGTCTGCGATGTGGTGATTAGGCGATACAATATCATGCTGGTGCGCACATTCTACCATCACTCCCCCCC